AAAACATTTGCAATTCCATTTGAATAAATGATAATCAATTTTTGAAAAGAACTACTTATTAACGTTTGTTTAATAATATGCATATGACGAAAGACTGACTGAGTGGATATGTTATAATATATTAATCTTAAGTGAGAGGCATAGAAAGTAACCAATATTTTAACATGCAGCAATAGATAAAAGATTTCACTTTCAAATGGTGTATATGAATCAAATCTACATCCATGAAGTTATAATTTTTATAACATGCCTCATTTTTCACTTTTTGATAGACACGAGTGATATTTCAATGGAGAATATAGGAGATTATCTCCTACTCTGTTTATATTTACTTTCGAAGTGTATAGAAGGGAGGTTACTTAAGCAAAATGGATTTCAATATTATGTAACTTACCTGGGTCTTGTAAGGTGTGTATAAATATCAGGCCATTTGTTTGAATAGAATTTTAAGATAACAACTTTCTTAACCACATTTTTTCAAAGATCTTAAGAGTAATTAATTTAAGAACATAAATGTAGCTTTGTATTGGTGGTGTGTATAGAAAATGTTTGCAAAATATTAATTGCAAAGACTATCCAAAAGCTAAAGGACATTAAAACAATAAATATAGGTTAAGACAATCACTTTAATGAAGCTTCATAGACAAAATAATTATCACATTGATATAAATAGAATAAAAATAAAATAAATAAAACACATGACTACAATATTTTCGTCCACTTAAACAGAAGAAACTTTACTATAATGAATGCACAAAGGATGATTAAGGACATTGTACAATGTATTCACTTAAAGCTAACTGAGTCATCTAAACTGAGAATGACGTGCCACAAACTTCTCCATGGCAATATAAATATGCCATTTTTCTCTCACTGAGAAACATGGACGGAATCAATAAACATATTTCATATATCAATTACCCATCAAAAAATGTCAATACTCAATAACAGGACATTAAATAATGCATGTAAAAATCATCAATCCCTTAAACTTGCCTTTGCCAGAATACACACCATTTTTCAAATTTTTGAACTTCAAATATGTGACCTTTTTGTTTCAATACAATAAGTTAAATCTGATCAAGATAAAAGTTTTTTCTTCCAGTGCTTTATATTATTGTGTCTGTTCAAAGAATTGCACTAATGTTTGTAGATCATAATTGTCCAGAACTTCAAGTAGTGCTGGTACACGCCCCTTCATGTTCTGACCTTTGAACTTAAATTTGTCTATGAACAAGTCTGTGATCATACCTGAAAATACAACATTCTTACAATTACATTCTTAATTTTAAGATTGTGATTTTTTCAGTTTTCTTTTCTTAGAAAATAATTAAGTGTTACTATTCATTTAAAAAGAAGAAGATATAAAAGTCTGCTTTGACAACTAAGGTGACTTACAAAAGCCTAAGAGCATATAATCTTAAAATATTACATAGATTAACTGGGGCACTTAAAATGTAACAATATGAACAAGGAATTTACCAAGAATTGGATAGAAAATCAATATTAAGTGTCATGACAAAAAAAACCTCAGTGGAGTCTATTTAAATATTGATTCTGTGCCCCAAAAAAATCCAATTTTTCTACATATTGTCATAATAAACAGCTTAACTTTTCCCACAAGAACATTTACAATTTTGAAATTTGAAATAAAATTAATATCTAGTCTCATAATCAGAATATTCTTCTCAATTTTACCAACATCCAATCAAGAAACATATAAATCATTATTGTACTGTCTTTAGTAAGCAAAACTCACAGTATAAAACAATAAATATACCTACCATACAATCTCTCAAGGTGACATGGTTGTCTTTTGTACTCAATTTTCAACTGATCGGCATCCTCCAGAATCTGACGGTACTCTGGTGATAGGAATTCTAAGTTGTTCTCATGGACGTGAAGCTCCTATAAGATGTCAGCATGACATATCAAATACATTCAACAATTGTTTTTCATTATAAAGAATTAAATGAACTGACTTCAAATTTGAAATGCCTAAGGTATACACTAAGCACTCTATCAACAGTTAAGTTCATTCATTCACCTTCTACAATTATAACTAATACATGCAGAGAAATTCCGACAACTTTCTCAGTTCTGATTTTTTTCCTTTCTGTTTTTCAAAGCATTTCATACTACTGAAAATTTCAGAACTTCCAATTTTGAATTCTGGATAATATTCAAAAAATTTGGGGTAAAATCAATGCAATTTTACCAGTAAAATGTTTGGATGGTGTCTACATTTTAGAAAATTAAAATGTGCTCATACTCATGCTTTTTCTTTATGTATGAAGGTAACAGCTTAAAACAATCTACAAAATTTAAGTGTCTAATATTTTATATGAAATAGTATTATAACAGTGTCAAACATTGTTAATCTTTTATAACTTATAAAAAAAGCAAATTAACAAGATGTTGAGTAATTACAAAATAAAATAATATTGACCAAATGAGCAAGTGAACAAATTTATTGTACACCCCTGAAACAATGTAAAATTCACAATAAACTTAACAAATGTTTACCTTTAGAGCATCTATAAGTTGAACTTTCTTGGCTAACAATAACTGGTACTCTAGTTTAGGATGAATAAGGTTCAGGGTGTAGGGAATTGAGTCTTCATTTACATCTGAAATATTGTCAAATTATGTTATATAGAATGTCATACTGTTATATGTATGTTTTAATCACAGCCAGCCAATCTCAAAGCTGTATTATGTTTGTTAAAAAAAAGTGCCTGTTATCTTTTGTTGTTTTTTGTCATTATCGCTAGAATTGATATAAATTTTAGATAAATGATTATAACAGCAATTTATATCAGTATTTCAGTGTTGGTATGTACTGAACAGGCTTAATCAACAGCATAATCATATATCTAGAGTGATTAACATGTGATTTATGTTTCTTACACTACAACATTACATTAAAATATTTGACATATTAAAATACTCCATATTTGTAATGTTGCTTTTCATTACCTTATTATGATGTTTATATTATCAGTTATATAGATTTTTTTGACAGGTTATATGGCCCTATATAAACGGTTGTTGAGAATTATAATGCAAACAACTGTTTATATCGGGCTATATAACCTGTCAGAAATATTTATAACAAATTAAGTATGCAAGCATCTTTTTTGAGAGAAAAATTGAATTTTCTTCATAAATTGACAGCAGCCGTGTATATAAAACTATATAAACATCACGATTATCCAATGAAAAGCAACGTTACAATCATGCAGTAATAAAAAGTCTTATATACACGGCTGCTGTCTATTTATGCGAACAAAATTTTTTTTCCTCTAAACAGGAAGTTTGCTGCATTATAAAACAATTATAAATTGTTTGTTTGTTTAGGGTTTTGTGTCACATTGACACAGTATAGGTCGTATCGCAACGTTCCAGCTTTACTGGTGGAGGAAGACCTCAGGTGGCCTTCCGTGCATTTTTTCAGGCACGAACGGGCACCTGAGTAGAACCACCGACGTTCCGTAAGCTAGCTGGTTAGCTTCCTCACATGAAAGAATCCAAAGTCCCTGACGGGATTCGAACCCACAGCGGTGAGGGGCAAGTGGTTTGAAGTCAACGACCTTAATCACTCGGCCACGGACACCCCTAAAACCATTATAAAGATAACTGACAAGTTATAAGGTTGTATATAAACAGTTGTTTGCAATATAACCCTTGCCTAGCAGCTCTGGTTATGTATGAAAGCAACATTTATATAGGGTCATATAACCTGTCCAAAATCTTTATAAACTATTATTATATGATCTAAATATAGCTGCAATCTCATTGGTCCAAACAATAGTCAACAGAACTTTTTATAAAATCATATTCACTGGGCGTAGTATCATATTCACTGGCTGAATTGGATTTTCCCAGTCTAAAAATAGATTGAGACTCATATTCGTAGACTGTTTATTACGCGTGTTAATTTAAAATAATTGTTGCTTTTTGTTCTTTATGGCATATTTCTCGATTAAAATATCATTACTTTACTATTATACTTAAAGGCTACACCGCAATGATGAGTATAAACTTGCATTATTTTTGTATGCGCAGCGTTCGCGTAGTCGTTGCACGCCTAACACGTGCGTCTTTTTTCTCGCGCTTTGAACACGAGGCAAAATTTGTACATGTATATAAGGTTGTACGTTTTGTGATTTTTTTATTTCTTATAGCCTATTCATATAATAAAACATTTATTGACTAGTGAGCCATTGAATATGATGTGATATTCACCGGCAGAAAGTCATATTGACCTCGGCTATCGCCTCGGTCAATATGTCATCTGCCGGTGAATATCACATCATATTCAATGGCTCACTAGTCAATAATTGTATAATATTATAAAGAGTATTCACCATATGTTATATCCAATCTGACTTTTTTCTTTGTGGCTTCCTTTGTGAGAACATCTTTGAGAATTGAGATTGTTGAGATGTTGTCAGATCTGAATGTTGCCAAACCTTTACTGTAAATATATAATAAAATTGATGCAGTATATGAAAATCTTTTACATCATACAGAGATTAAAATCAATATAACTAATAGAGATCAATACTTTAATCAAGTCTCTCTTAGATATTTAGTAACATGGTTTGTAAAAAATAAATCATCACTCAACAGCTAAAATCTGCCTAATTCTGTGTCTGTAATTAATTTCACTTCATTAAATTATGATGATACTAAAATTTAGCGCAGACAAATTGTTTCCTTTTAAATGTTATAAATCTTAAATTATGACTCAATTAGTAGCTTGAGAGTCAAAATGTTGAAATCTAACAGCTGTCTTAAAAGTTTTAAATGTACTTTTGAACTGAAATGCACATTGTTTACATATTTTGATTAAGCACTGAATTTCTATTTGTTTGCAAAGTTATAAAACATTGAAATTCACTTTGTGGACATAACAATTTTTCATAATAAACATCATGAAGAAGGAAAGCAATTTCATAAATAAGTTTTAAACTTATTTCATAACTCAACTAAATGTAATAAAAAATGATATTCATTACGTGTATATGTAAATGTATTGTTTACCTGTATAAACACTCTAGTTGAGTATCAAGGAATGTTGATATGAAGTGAAATTGTACTTTGTCACCAGGTGGCGTTTTCTCTGGTAGTTCAGGGAGACAGAAACATACCCAAGAATGCATCTCAGCCTGACTGAACTGTCCTGTCAACTTCAACGTGTTATGTGGTCTAAAATAAGTAACACAAAACAATAACAAGAGCACCGCTAGGCGGGGCATTATATGCCCGAAAGTACTTTAGCTGTAGGTTGAGAAATGCTTGAATTATTGAGCAAAAACTGTTTCCAGTTTAAAGGTGATAGTAACCTTGATCTTTGACCTTGTGAACCCAAAATCGATAGGGGTCTTCTACCCAATATGGACAATCATCCTATGAAATTTAAATACTGTGGACCAAATGGAACTTAAGTTATGCTCCGGAAACCATTTTCAGTTTTACGGTAATAGTGACCTTGACCTTTGACCTTGTGACCCCAAAATCAATAGGGGTCTTCTACCCAATATGGACAATCATCCTATGAAGTTTGAAAACTGTGGGCTAAATGGAACTTAAGTTATGCCCCGGAAACCATTTTCAGTTTTACAGTAATAGTGACCTTGACCTTTGACCTTGTGACCCCAAAATCAATAGGCGTCTTCTACCTAATATGGTCAATCATCCTATCAAGTTTGAAAACTGTGGGCCAAATGGAACTTAAGTTATGCTCTGGAAACCATTTTCAGTTTAACGGTAATAGTGACCTTGACCTTTGACCTTGTGACCCCAAAATCAATAGGGGTCTTCTACCCAATATGGGCAATCATCCTATGAAGTTTGAAAACTGTGGGCCAAATGGAACTTAAGTTATGCTCCGGAAACCAAATTGCTAACGGACGGACGGACAGACGGACGCCAGGGGGTATAACATAATATGTCCGAAATTCTTTCGGGCATATAAAAACTAGAAATGGAACACAAAGTAACAACATCGTAACAAATGAGACCAGTGTCCTGGATTTTGATGGTTACAATTAGCTCTACCCTTATCATATCATGGTTGCTCAAAGGTTGTTAAAATTAAAACCAAACTTAAAATCTACATCAACATGACCTCCTGATGCACAAGCTATACAAAGATGTGCGTCATCAATAAAAACAGAAATTACGCAAGTACTTCTCATTAAATTATAGAGTGGTGCAGACTTAAGTCTTTATCTCTATATCTCACCCAGTTACATATAGTGTTTTGAACAATGTCTTTGCATATAATGGACAATGGCCAAACCGCTTGATACTACTTAAGATGAATGTTAATCATCACATTCTCTTTTGATGTGGGCAAAACTTGTTTAAAATCTACTTGTCACATAAGATCACTGTATGCAACAAACTAGATCTAAATCTTTATATTATACAATATCTTAACCCTAACCACGCTAAATATCTTAAATAAACATGTCCATCTTTCAATCTAGACAAACAATTTAGTATTTTTTTTTTTTAGGTAAAATTTCAAAATAACTTCTGACTGAATTATACCGAACAGTGCAGACAATGATCAGACTGCACCCATTTTGGTATGCACTGATCCCATGGTAAGAAAGTGCAGGCCATGATCAAATGGGACCCATTTTGGTATGCACTGATTGCATGGGTAGAAAAGTGCTGACCCCATTCTGATGGCACTGATCTTGGTCTGTAATGTTTGCACTTATTGTTACAACCAACGGACTATTTAGGGTCATTCAAACGACAAAACAGTATTATCAAAATTTCTTATTTTATATTGGTGCCTTTCATTTTTAGTCCTCAAAAATCTAACCTCTTTAAGCAAGTAACTCAAATATATATCCAACAGGGCTACTTAAAAAAAAAAATTGTGTTGTTGCATTATCATTTTTGGGTCGTCAAAAATCTAACCGTTTTGGGCAAGTAAATAAATATGATATTCAAATATTTCTCAGGTTTAAGTCTACTTTAAAAAGAAACCATGTGCATGAATCATAACATCCTCTTTATAATACAACATGTATGTAGATTGTATTTGAAACATAAATCATTAATTAAGTAAAGCCATTCCCTTGGTAATAGTGTTAATTTGCAAAGTGTATTTTCTTATTACAGTTTCCTCCGACATTTCATATATTACATATAATTATAAAACATTGATTTTCTTATTAAGGCATGTACAGAAAGAAATTTCAAATTTTCCATAATATAATAATTGAAAATGCTAAACATTTCCTGCCTTAAAAAGATTAATGTTATTAACCAGTAAGTTATTTTTCTGAGAACATTGTATGGTGTCATGTACCATTATATGATGTCATGTACCTGGAAGAAAAAAAAAACACAGAAAATAGACCATTACATACTCATTTCATACATTACTTAATATTTCTTAAATCTTTACCACGCTTACTATCTTGAAAGAACTTTTCCCTAATTTCAAAGTCTGGACAAAACCATTTATCTTTTGTAGGTATGTACTGACAGAATAAGCAAAACAGTGCCAGCCCGAGTATGAAGACTGATCTTTGAGTCTGAGTTGCCCGAGTAGAATCAGTTGCCACCAGCAGGGCAAGGGTTAAAAAAAAAAAATTAAGTAAGGGCTTTGTTTCCTTCTATAGCAGGGGCAATTTAAGGGCAGCTTCCCCAAAGAAAAAATTCTTTAAAATCATGCCGTTTTCCCGCAAAATTGAATTTACACCAAGTTTTTTCTCCCCCTTTTGCAAATATACTGTAATATTTCCCCCTAAAATTGAAGCAGGGCTGCTTCCCTAGCATGTGGAAAAAAAGCCCTGAGAGTTTTCATATAGGCAGAATGAATACATTGCTGGCTTCAGGATCACCTGTCTGCTTCTATTGGCTTAATAATTGCTAAATAACAATACTGAGCACTCCACAATTTTTTATTTAAAGAAGTAGTCTGTGAAAATTTGAGAGTAGCTACTGTAGTCATATGTTAAAATCTTAGTGATTTATAATTAAAGGGTTTTATCAAATGAAACATAAAAATGTTGATGAACAAAAAAGGTCTCCAAATAGTAAAAAAAAAAAATCCATATTTTTTTAAATTTTATTTGTATTTTGACTATCATCATGAATCATGACAATTTAGTATCAGCAGATTTCAAGGTAACTATGGCAACACAATCATATATCTTATTTTCATAATGAGAAATGGTAATATCAATCATATTACAGATTATTGTTGTAATATCAATGTTATCAATGTCACTGTGGAATAAAAACATTGCAATAAACAAGAGCACCGCTAGGCGGAGCATTATATGCCCGAAAGGGTTGTTTTTTTTAGTAAGGATGAAGCATTTGTAAGACATGGAAATTAGCTGTTCATCCTATAAAATTTTACAGATGTAGGTTGATTAATACTTAAGTTATTAATAATGACCTTAACCTTTGACCTTGTGACCCCAAAATTAATATGGGTCTTCTACCTTATATCAACAATCATCCTAAGGAGTTTGAATATTGTGGGCCAAATGGAACTTTAGTTATGCTCCTGAAACTGTTTTCAATTTTAAGGTAATAGTGACCTTGACCTTTTGACCCCAAAATCAATAGGGGTCTTCTACCCAATATGGACAATCATCCTATGAAGTTTGAATATTATGGGCCAAATGGAACTTAAGTTATGCTCCGGAAACTGTTTTCAGTATCGAGGTAATAGTGACCTTGACCTTTGACCATGTGACCCCAAAATCAATAGGGGTCTTCTTCCCAATATGGACAATCATCCTATGAAGTTTGAACATTGTGGGTCAAATGGAACTTAAGATATGCTCCAGAAACTGTTTTCAGTATCAAGGTAATAGTGACCTTGACCTTTTGACCCCAAAATCAATAGGGGTCTTCTACCCAATATGGACAATCATCCTATGAAGTTTGAACATTGAGGGTCAAATGGAACTTACGTTATGCTCCGGAAACTGTTTTCAGTATCGAGGTAATAGTGACCTTGACCTTTGACCATGTGTCCCCAAAATCAATACGGGTCTTCTACCCAAGATGGACAATCATCCTATGAAGTTTGAACATTGTGGGTCAAATGGAACTTAAGTTATGCTCCGGAAACTGTTTTCAGTTTTAAGGTAATAGTTACCTTGACCTTTTGACCCCAAAATCAATAGGGGTCTTCTACCCAATATGGACAATCATTCTATGAAGTTTGAACATTGTGAGCCAATTGGGACTTAAGTTATGCTCCGGAAACCAAATTGCTAACGGACAAATTGCTAACGTACGGAAACTGTTTTCAGTATCAAGGTAATAGTGACCTTGACCTTTGACCTTTTGTCCCCAAAATCAATAGGGGTCTTCTACCCCATATGGACAATCATCCTATGAAGTTTGAACATTGTGGGTCAAATGGAACTTAAGTTATGCTTCGGAAACCAAATTGCTAACGGACGGACGGATGGACGCCAGGGGGTATAACATAATAAAATACAAGAGCACCGCTAGGCGGAGCATTATATGCCCGAAAGTATTTTTTTTCTTAGTAAGGATGACCTTAACCGTTGACCTTTTGACCCCAAAATCAATAGGGGTCTTCTACCCAATATGGACAATCATCCTATGAAGTTTGAACATTGTGGGCCAAATGGAACTTAACATATGCTCCGGCAACTGTTTTCAGTATCAAGGTAATAGTGACCTTCACCTTTGACCTTTTGACCCCAAAATCAACAGGGGTCTTCTACCCAATATGGACAATCATCCTATGAAGTTTGAACATTGTGGGTCAAATGGAACTTAAGCTATGCGTGGAAACATATTTTTCAGTATCAATGTAATAGAGACCTTCACCTTTGACCTTGTGACCCCAAAATCAATAGGGGTCTTCTACCCAATATGGACAATCATCCTATGAAGTTTGAACATTGTGGGTCGAATGGAACTTAAGTTATGCTCTGGAAACTGTTTTCAGTTATAAGGTAATAGTAGCCTTGACCTTTGACCTTTTGACCCCAAAATCAATAGGGGTCTTCTACCCAATATGGACAATCATCCTATGTAGTTTAACATTGTAGGCCAATTGGAACTTAAGTTATGCTCCGGAAACTGTTTTCAGTATCAAGGTCAGTGACCTTGACCTTTGACCTTGTGACCCCAAAATCAATAGGGGTCTTCTTCCCAATATGGACAATCATCCTATGAAGTTTGAACATTGTGGGTCAAATGGAACTTAAGTTATGCTCTGGAAACTGTTTTCAGTTATAAGGTAATAGTGACCTTGACCTTTGACCTTTTGACCCCAAAGTCAATAGGGATCTTATACCCAATATGGACAATCATCCTATGAAGTTTGAACATTGCGGGCCAATTGGAACTTAAGTTATGCTCTGGAAACTGTTTTCAGTTTAAAGGTCATAGTGACCTTGACCTTTGACCTTTTGACCCCAAAATCAATAGGGGTCTTCTACCCAGTATGGACAATCATCCTATGAAGTTTGAACATTGTAAGCCAATTGGAACTTAAGTTATGCTCCGGAAACTGTTTTCAGTATCAAGGTGTTAGTGACCTTGACCTTTGACCTTGTGACCCCAAAATCAATAGGGGTCTTCTACCAAATATGGACAATCATCCTATGAAGTTTGAACATTGTGGGTCGAATGGAACTTAAGTTATGCTCCGGAAACCGTTTTCAGTTTTAAGGTAATAGTGACCTTGACCTTTGACCTTTTGACCCCAAAATCAATAGGGGTCTTCTACCCAATATGGACAATCATCCTATGAAGTTTTAACATTGTGGGCCAAATGGAACTTAAGTTATGCTCCGGAAACCAAATTGCTAACGGACGGACGGACGTACGGACGGACGGACGGACGGACAGACAGACGGACGCCAGGGGGTATAACATAATATGCCCTTTCGGGCATATAATAATAACAAGAGCTGTCGGTAGGACAGCAACGCTCGACTATTCTTAGTGCTTGATAGTAAAAAAATGCTTGATACAGTTACCTCCTCCTGTTTACAGGTTGGGGTCATGATGGTGAACAAGTGTGCAAAGTTTCAAAGCCATATGTCAATGGACTTTGAAAATATTTGAACTATTACAAAAACTTTAACGTAAATTCTAAGTCGAAAAAGGGGCATAATTCTGTCAAAATGCTTGATAGAGTTACCTCCTCCTGTTTACAGGTTGGGGTCATGATGTTGAACAAGTGTGCAAAGTTTCAAAGCCATATGTCAATGGACTTTGAAAGTATTTGAACTATTACAAAAACTTTAACATAAATTCTAAGTCAAAAAAGGGGCATAATTCTGTCAAAATGCTTGATAGAGTTTCCTCCTCTTGTCTACAGGTTGGGGTCATGATGGTGAACAAGTGTGCAAAGTTTCAAAGCCATATGTCAATGGACTTTGAAAATATTTGTACTATTACAAAAACTTTAAAGTAAATTCTAAGTCGAAAAAGGGGCATAATTCTGTCAAAATGCTTGATAGAGTTACCTCCTCCTGTCTACAGGTTGGGGTCATAATGGTGAACAAGTGTGCAAAGTTTCAAAGCAATATGTCTATGGACTTTGAAAATATTTGAACTATTACAAAAACTTTAACATAAGTGGTTACGCCGACGCCGACGCGGACGCCGACGCTCGGGTGACTGCAATAGCTCTACTTATTCTTATCGAATAGTCGAGCTAAAAATGAGCTGCGTCACGACAAAACCAACATAATGCGTTTGCGACCAGCATGGATCCAGACCAGCATGCGCATCAGCGCAGTCTGATCAGGATCCATGCTGTTCGCTTACAAACCCTATTACAAGTAGAGAAACTGATAGCAAACAGCATGGATCCTGATCAGACTGCGCCAATGCACAGGCTGGTCTGGATCCATGCTGGTCGCTAACGCATTACATTGGTTTTGTCGTGACACTGCTCAAATGATGATCAATAATCAGATTGAAGACTTACATTCTGTATCATCAATGTGATACTAAATTATAGAAAAATTAACTTTTTGACCAGTCTTTCATGGCAAAAGGTATTCATGACTTTTATATCTACATTAGTCGTATTTCAAGACAGCCATTATACATATAAATGGTTTCTTTGTTCAATTCTTTATCTGGATTTTATAGGTGAACATTTATTTACAAAATTACAATTGAGTGAAGTTGAAATTGAGGGGTTTAATATTTTTGCCAAATAAATGGAAGACATGTAACAAATAGAAACAAAATTCAATAAAATTAAACAGTTAAAATTGATTAATTTGGTGGAATGAATTACACCAACCCTTAGAGTGCTGACATCTATAAATGAACTATTGCATAAGAACAACCAGCACATCCCTGCAGTTTTACACCACCTCAACACAGTATAAGTCATATGGTGACTTTCCAACTTTAGTAGTGAAAGAAGACCTCTGGTGGGTCCCCATGGAATATTTAGGCACAAACAGTCACCAAAGTAGAACCACTGACCTTCCGTAAGCAAGATGGATAGCTTCCAAACATGAAAAAATCCAAAGTCCCTAGCAGGATTCGAACCCAAAACATTGAGGGGCAAGTGGTTTGAAGTAAACAACCATAACTATTTGGGAGTGAAAGTCATTCAATTTTATAATTTGGACAGAAGAGTTTTTACCATTGACAGGGAACAGTGGTTACTCAAAGCATGGTATGTCAATTTCCACATACACAGCAGGGTAAGAATAAGTTAACTTCTCTTTATCTTTATATACTAGATTAACTACATTATCAGGCAAAATACCGCAAACCTCAATAATGTGGTTTTCAAAAATGTAAAACTACCTGTTATCATCAAAGACATGAGTCCTCTGATGAAGTGAGAGAGGTTTAATCTGATACTGTTTCACTTTACAAGTCTTTGGTTGAACTCTTGGTGTAACATAGGCCTGTATTGTACCGTACTGTCCCTCAATAGACCGTATCTTCAACTCTAAACGGGTCGTGTTAGCCTGACATCTGTATGTTGCTAGCAGGAAGTTACCCTCCTTTATAGGTTAAATATAAACTTCAATATTAAATCAAATGTAAATATGTATGTTCAATTAGCATACTGAGTAAGAGGAACTAACAGAAACAGATTATCTTTTTAAATTTCAATAAAACAATAAAAAATATTTTGTTAACTATTTCCAAAGATTTTGTGTAAAAAAAGCATGATAATCTATACTTAGTCTCATAAACAACTACAAACAACTTAATAGTAGAAAAAAAAACATTCAGGATTTCTCTATCCATTAAATATAAGCATCGTGAAAAAACTTTGTAGACCATTAACTAAAACTATCAATGAAAGTGATGAATACTTATTCATATTTGAACTAAATTGCTAAGGTAATTTACAGGTAGGCCAGGGTCATATTTGAATTACTTAGCATGACTGGTATGTCTTAAGTGTTGTTTTTGCTATGTTTGTTTTAAATCTGTTCTTAAATAAATTGGCAAATTTAATGAAAATTTAATAATTTGCACTGAGGGTCCAGGTAATATTAGAGTCAAACTCATACCTTAATTGCTTGATAAATGATTTTGTCTCAACTGTAGGAATCATATCAATACAATAATAACAAAGTCATGTCAAGTAACTCAAGTTTAGCAAAAATCAATTATTTGGCCACCACAGCCAGGGTCATTTTAAATTTAAAAACAAACTTTAATTATTCAGCATGTCTGTTTTGTTATACATCTTGTTTTGTTCAAGTATACATGAAATCAGTCCATTTATAACAAAATCATGGCCATCTGATAAACAAATTCAATACCTTCACTTTGAAGGTCAAGGTCATCTTTAGCCAGATATCACATTTAAATTGCTGAAACAAAGTCTTTTATGCGGCAATAAATAACTCCATAAATAACAAAGTTTTTATCATATAAGTCAAGGTCATATAAAGGTACTGTTCAATTTAACTAATTGAGCATATTTTCAAGAGTTCTTATGTCCATCTATGAACAAATTTTAAACCTATTTTAGCAAACATTTAAACTTAAGGTCATATAAAAATCTAGGTCAAATTCCCTAAAATATACACACAAGACGACCTCATACAGATCACTAATTTATATAAAATTGAATTAAAACTGGTCAAGCAGTTACAGAGATGCATCTAAATGATTGAGTTAACAGGCAGCCAGGCAGTCAGGCAGCCTGAGGAGTGGACAGATCTAAATCAGTATACCCCCTTATGACTTAATTGTGATGGGAGTATAATATCATGAATAATTAGCAGTAAAGACATACCTCAGGATGACAGGCACTGTAACTGACAACAGCAGAGTTCTTCTCAACATCCAGTAAATCTATCGGTACATCACTCTACAAAATATAACAAAATTTGATAAATATTAATATTCATCAGTTGTGGAAAGTGCAGTCATTGCTTTTTTTTGCTTACAATACATATTTTTATGTATTTAACTTCCAGGAAAACTCCTACATTGTAACAATTTGCACACATAAAACCTCTGGCAATTGATATGCAGAAAGAAATATAATCTACTTAAAGCAGCACACCTCCAGATTAATGCTTATTATCATATTTTCCATTTTAAAAAATGAAATTAAATGTATATCATTGCATAGCAACCAAAAGGAATCATTTTACACATTATCAATGGCACTAACAACCCACGTATATTACAAAAAGTGGCCAAAATATGCCCTTACTGAGTTAGTAATGCAGTTGAAATATAGTTACACATAATGAAAAATTCACAACATTTTAATTAATTATTACTTGAATCTTTCTACTTCTGCCTAAAATCTTCTTTCACAAGTTTGATTTATTGAAATATTTTCGCTCGTCTGTAGGCATGCTGCTTTTAAGCAATGTTTTAAGAATTTAAAGATATTCACTGTCTTCTTTTTATAAAAGGCTATCTATACCAGTCTTGTTAGCAAGAAGATAATTATAACTGGGTATGATTGTGTTACCTGTAATAGGACATTATCTATAGGCATCTGTAACTCCAGACTGAGAGTATAACTGGCATCTTCTCTGTTTAGTACAAATTTATCATTGATATGAAAGCTTGGTACAGCAGAGATAGCCGTGTTACTTTGTGCCGTCTGCTGATATTTCTCACGCTCTGACATTACCTTCTGCTGTAAATCCTCCAAATCTGTTCTATATAATAATATGGAATAATTCATTTATTATGTATATATTAGATTTATTTGAAAACTTTCTTTCTTGTTTTGATTTAATTTACATTTTTTAACTGCAGCAAAGTTATCTAAATAAATGAATGTTTGAAAAGTCACTTACTGTCTTATAAAAATAAACAGACACATTGTGTACATTTTTATGTATTTTATTTTTGTAAATTTAAAAGAATATGAAGTTTGTTTGTTTGTTTCATTTTACGCCTTTTTCCAACAGTATTTCAGTCATATAGGCGGGTAGTTTCCTAACCATCGTTCCTGGAGAGTTACACCAGTACTAGACTACCTTCCTCCGCGCTAAACTACCAAAGCATCTCCCGGGGATCGAACCCACGCCAGAGAGGTAACTGGATTAGAAGTCATCGACTCTAACCCCACGACCACGAAGGCGGCTAAGAATATGAAGTATTCATTTCTATTTCAAAACTGAACACTGTTTTCAAAGTGTAACCAAGTGTTTTTATTTGTTCTAGTCCTTATAGTAGATATTCAGAATGTTTGTATTTCCTATAGTTAATACATATACCTGTTAAAATAGTTCATTACAAAAGTTACAAATAAAAGTTACAACAGTATAGACCATACACCAAATCCAGTTACTCAATACAAATAATACAGTTACACACCAAATTCAGCACTAAACACACTTTTCTGACATTTGACCTACAAAAATGACCTTGAACTTGACCTTTAATGTAAATTCACTTTTAATATACATAACATTTTCATGTTGTTCAAACATTTTAATATATGTTAAAAACTCTTCTACTGGCCAACAAATAGAGATAATTACTGATCAGATATTTAGAACAGTAAACACAGCATAACTGTGTGCAAATAGGAATAACTAAGAGCTGCCTCAGGTGATGAATACCGCTACCAACTCTATGACATGGGATTTTATCTAGGTCCATTTATTGTTGTTGTTTTTTTTTTAAAGTGAACATTTGAGCAAAGTTTGAAGAAAGTCATTCAATAAGTATAGAATTTGTAGTGCTGATACCAAACTTTCTGACATTTAACCTTTAAATGTGACATTGGCCTTGAGGCTGCACATGGATTACATAGGCTGTGAATATACCTTTGTAACAGTTAAAGTTTGAACCAAGATTTCAAGGGGTAAAAAAATTCATACAGCAAACAAAAAACTGTCTGACATTTGACCTTCATATGTGACCTTCATTCTGAGCCAGCACAGTGGTGACATAAATTTGGCACATTGTCTTGTTGATATGAATTTTTAACCCAAGTTATGAGAAAATCTTTCAATGGGTAAAGGATTTGCAAAGTGGTCAAAAAATTGTCTGACAATTGGCTATCTTTTGACATTTAACTTTCAAAACGTGACCTTGACATTGCTCATGGCCAACCTTGGTTTTGCATATCACCTTGTTCTTGTGGACATTTGAACCAAGTTTGAAGAAAATTCTTCAATGGGTATAGATTCATAGGACCAAGAAATACAACAGTGACTCCAGTATTGTATTATAAAAACAGTCATATACACTGGTGTCTTTTAAAGATAACCTGATTACTGTTGGCTGTTCTGTTTTGATATTGTCATTTTGATACATTACTAAAACTGATCACAACAACTTCAGAGCACAATTATCATATTTAATTGTATTAGTTATACATTGTATTGTGTTGACACAATAAAAGGATCACCATTATTGTTAATGGGTTAGTATAAATACATCTAGCATTCATGTATATATCTCATTCCAACACCAATATACTTGTACAACCATCATGCACACTACCAATACATATATAACATATATATATATACTATATGGGGTAAAATACAGAAAGTATCAGTCCATTAAGATCCATGAAAACTGTTTTACATCTAGACCTCATTCATTGCATATATTCTATAATATAATGGCTTTTCCCAGTAGTTTTATATTAGGTTTTTGACATCTGTGTTATCAAAGAAAATTCAATTTTGAAAATGTAAACAATATAAAACTGTCACAAACATGAAGTAATCATTGTAATGTTTACAAATATTCAGACGTTGATATCAGGTTTTTTTAGTAAATGGTCAGTGCT